TGCTAAAAGAGGACATGAAGTTAATTGGGGTGAGAGTAGAGGATGCCGAGGATAGAGTTAGGTGGAAACAGATGATTCGCTGTGGCGACCCCTAACAGGAACAGCCGAAGGAAGAAGAAGAAGAAGAAGAAGAAGAAGAAGAAGAAGAAGTATCCAGCGTGCAGCTTTTGTTACTGCAGTGTATCTTTCTGGTCTTCTGGAAGAACATTTCCAGAGCCTCTTTATGGGAAGTCAAACGTCTGGCCTATTTATTGGACTCTCTTCTATACTTGGACAGCAGCGAGCATTGCCATCTTCACCCTGAGAGCGTTTAAAGAACGCAGATACTTTTCAGATTGTTGACGTGACATTTTGTAAGGTTTAAGTTGTAAGTGTTTACAGTAGGTTAAGTCTGGCTGTCAACAGGGAAAGTTGCATTAGTTGGGTTTGTTACCTACTGTATGTTGGTGCTGTGCCTTCCTGACAAATACCTGAAACATACACAACCGTATAATTTTTTTTTGTCCTGTATAAGCCACTCTTTCTTTTCTTTTTGGCACTGGTTTATTTACACTGATCATTTATTTTTGAGCTGGCAGCACTGCTACTTATCAACTAGTCTGTCCTGGCTGCTGCCATGTTTCATCATTTCCCTGGGCAGCACAGCTGGTTGGAGTACAACAGGCTCTTGCTGGGAAATTGTTGGGTTAACAGAGAATAACAAAGTAGTGCCCTGTGCTCAGACAAATAACTCTCAGACAAAAAAGGCAAAAAGAGCGAAAAGCACTGCACAAGTAAAGACTTTGACATTTGGGGTGAAATTAATGTAGGAAGCATGACCTCTTGACGTTTTATTGAAGATAAGATAAACACCTCGTCATTGGTGCTGCATGCAGTAGTAGATATAGTTAACCTAAGTATATGCTGTACATCCACAGATTCAGATTTTGTATTAAAAAGGTCATTACTTTATGTCCATTTGTCCATCTTTCACATTGTCACAAAATGTAAAACAATCTGACATAGTTCTTGTTATCAAATGTTACTTATTAGTTTTAAAATTTCAGTGTTAATTCTAGTTCTTCATAGTTTTTGACAAAATTAACACCAAACTTTACAATACTGGGTGTATTTCACATGCTTGTTCTCTGTGTTTGTTCTTGTTCCCAGATACCACATTCATTTCTTTCCATTTTCCACAACAGTAAAATGACTATTTGCTCTTTAACAATCTTACCAAACAGGGTGTTTGTCAGCTATAGCCATTAACCCTCTGTAAACTGCTGCATTCTCCTTTTCCTCCTTGCTCAGGTCCAGAATGGTACTTGCTCAGAGTCGAGTTGACCGTGACAGATGTAAATGACAATGTCCCAGAATGGGACATGGTTCCTGCTCCCTTCCTCGCAGTGGTTTCTCCTGATGCCCCTGCAGGCTCTCTGGTCTACAAGCTCCATGCTCAGGACGGGGATGAAGGCAGCAATGGTGAAGTGGAGTATTTTCTGTCTGATGGTAGGTTGTGTTTTCTCTTTTTTTGTCTGTATCCTGTAGTTTAACATTGCATTTGTTTCTTATTTCAAACTCCTTACCATGAGTTTGGCTTGGTGAGTGAGTGAGCAACCCCATGAAAGGTAACACCATTAGGTTAATCTAAAGCCTTACCATTTCAGCACCTATGAGGTTTAAATTTAGAAAGTACACAGTGGTGTAGATTGTACACATTTGCCCTTGTCTCTTTAGAGTAACCATATTTAAACAAGTTTATATGCAAACATAAACATTAAATAAGGAACTTTCTATTTCGAACGAGTTATATTAGTGGCTCGCTTGTTTTTATACAAGTGTTTCATTGTTGGTGTGTGATACAGGGGAAATGGACATATTATGGTCAACACGTTTATCTGAATGTTTTGCGTGGCATATGTAGCCAGGCGGTAAATTTATTAAAAGGAAAAGTAAACAAACAAGTGGATAATAATTTTCTACCAAATGTCCTCTACGAGTTTCTCAAGCTGATGTATTTTGTGTTCATGCATTGTTTACTGTCTCCTAAAAATGTAAAAATGACCTGTTGCTGTTGGTAGTTTAATATTACCTTACAAACTTTGATCACAAGGTGGCAGTGTTGAGTAAGGAGTAATGGTTACTCCTCCAAAATTTTGCCAATTGAATTATGGTCTTTATTTCTATTTATGCTTGTACTGGGCTGCAGAATATAGTGTAGAATTCTAAGCCAACTGTGTTGATGGCTTGGAGATGGTGGCGGTGTGCTGCAGACTCGCGTATGCTCGTGTGCTAGTAAAGAAACGGGTTGAGTGTGCTCTTCAGGATGTTTGACATGGAGTTAAAGAAACTTCTGTGGAATCCAGAGCCCACTGCTCTATTTTGTCTGGTATTTTACCATATTTTGCCCCATACCTTTTCATATTTTGTAATAGTTTGTCCTGTATTTTGCCAAATTTTGTCCTGTATTTGGTTTATTTTCTTATTTTCTTATGAATATCTCTGCACTCTAAAATACAGAAGCTGTCACTCAAGGCAACACAGATAGCCCTCTGTTTACAAATTTGTTGTTGAAGTGTCCTGTTTGTCATTAAAGCTAAATTTCCTGGGCTATACCTAGAATCAACCTGTTTCTCTTCCTTTCAGTCCCCACAGAGACACTATGGGGGTTATTTACTAAATCACAGATTAGTGTCTGATGCACAAACACTGTGGCACCTCAATTTTTCAATTTATTGGTGTATTTTCCAACAGTGATGAATAAACAGAGCTGCTGCAGTATTGAAAAAAATACATGGATGCTTGGAGCTGGTGTCTATATTGCGCATGTGTTGATAGAGAGGGAGTGTCAAAGAAAGTCTAAGTTTGCAGCAACTCAACTTTAAACATGGTTGAAGAAATCAACAAATATATTTTAGAGCTCCAATCACACAGTCTCCTGCCTGTCAAATTATCTTTTTTTTTTGAATTACAAATCCTTTATATTCTCCTCCGGTAAGCAATGTGAGTTACAAAAATCCTCTCTCTCCTCAACCATGTCCTTAACTCCCAAGAGGTCTCAGATCACAAACAGCTGCTACGCTGATATCAAGGCTACACATTTTACACCTGCTTTCACCTGACGTAAACAACTCCCTCTGCTGCAGTGGGTGGATAAATCGGGTGCTGAGGGTAACTGTGTAAATTTCCGTTCTGTCCTCTAAAATTTTTGCGTGCCTGAACAGGAACACCTTAAAATACATATTGCATGAGACTAGATGCACAAATTCCTGCAGTGCCACATTTCTTCTCTTTCTCCAGTGCAAAACCCCCACTGTAACTCCTTTGTAAATATGAACATGCGTAGTTTTAATGTTTAGTGCCAAAAAATGAGCCAATAAAACTTTAGTAAATATCCCCTTAAGCATTCAATATGCATAGTTATTTACTGGTACACAGTAATGAATTTCTTTTTTCTTCCATGTAATGATTTCTTCTGCCCATTTTGGAACCTGTTAAACTATTGTTGATAAAGGGTCAGTCTTTAAATTTTGACAGTGAATGAATTGACAACAGACATTGCGAGGGAAAAAAAAAAGATGAGTCTAGACTAAACTTTTCATTGTTTTGAATTGTTTCATCCAATAAGGTTTTAATCACATCTCTCACAGCAAACATTTGATTTAGTTATTTTGGGGATGCAGGACTGTGTGATATTGTGTGTATATAGAAATCAATTCACAGAGCCAAAGACAATAACTTTTGTAAATGGAATGCAGTTTCAATGGAAATTTTATCATCCCGTTACTGTTGCATACATGCCATGAATTTTAACATCCCAGTCCCAGCCTCTATGCTCTTTGCATTTCACATCTCAACAACTCAGAAAACCGAGTGTCCAGTCATATTAATCACTTCACTGACGCATGCCCAGCATGGATTTTCATATTTTTGACAGGCCACAGGATTTACACAGGCCCTTGGCATTGTAGTCCTTTGCATTTGTTGAGTCTGAGCTGTCACAGAGAGAGGCTTTGATGAGAAAGTGTTGGAAATGTGTGATCAAAACTCTAGTCAGCATGCACACTGTGTTGCTTTTATTTACAGGTGGTGATGGTCGTTTTGAAGTGGACAGGAAGAGTGGTCAGGTACGAACCACTGGCCTTCCCCTGCAGCAGGACAGGGAGTACTTGCTGACAGTAGTGGCTGGGCCCCTGGCCGGCGGCAGCCCTCCTGCCGTCATTTCTGTAGTGGCTGGATCCCGACCACCACAGTTCACAAACGCTTCCTTTACCATTGCCATACCTGAAAACACCCCCGAAGGACAGCCGTAAGTTGACACATATACACAGATAAATAAAAACAAACAAAAAGGTCTGGTCCCAGTCTTGGGATCATCTCCAAAGTGCATATGTTTGGCTTTTAACACAAAATTTGAACACAAAATATTTATTTATTTTTTAAAACATGAATTTGCTCACAAGACACTCACATGAAAGAGTTTGTGCACTTCAAGGGCTTTCTGTCTGTGGAGTACCAGAGACACGATGCATGAAAAAGAGAGGAAAGAGATGACAAATGCACATATTCTTCACACACTGTCTTCTACTGCAGACATGATTGATATCCATTCAGATGAGCAATATTTTTTACATTGCTTGTGTTTGAATTTATAGACGTCTCATGTGCACACACTTTTGTTTTTGTTGCTGCTAAATTGATTTCTGTCCCATAAGCATGAAACCCTTAGCCTTGGGCATGTATTATGCAGTATCCAGTATTTGAGCAAAAGCATTGCCTTCAAGTATTGATTTACACACACACACACACACACACACACACACACACACACACATTGTGAAACTTGAATTAGGAATGCAGGGATGGATTTTCACAGCCTTTGCAGTATTCATAAGAGATCATTGTGTATTAGTGTGATACGTGTTAAACTATGTATGTCACACATACAGTACAAATGCCTGGATCTTTATACACACACATGCACTCACACGTACACAAACCCAGGTCAAATCAAAGTGGTACAGTTATGACCAGGGTCCTTGATTTGGTCTCATTCCTCTCCTCTAGCTTTTTTACTATAACTGACACATTTGTCAAACCAGTAAAGTGGTTATTCCAGTTTGTGGTTTACTCTGATTTCATCAGGGAAATTATGTAAACATAACACAGCATATCTAATATATAACAAGCGCCAAGTCATTTCAGTATTTTAAGGCTGTATTCCACCATCTCTATGTCCTCAGTGTTCTCATTGCTGCTGTGGTGGATGCCATACATAAATGTACTTGACTGTACTGTGTTCTTCTCTAGTCTCCACTTGCTCTTACATACTTCAGTCTACTCTCTTCTGATCTGCTCCTCTTCCACTCTGCTTGTCTTTCAGGTGCTCCACGGAGGCCTTTTGCACTATTTCACTCAATTATTGATTATTAGTGGGGTTGTAACAAGATGATCTGATCAGGTTCCCATAGTGGAGAAAAGGCCTATCAGAAATTTTATCTACACTGCCCTTACATAGGAGGATGTTCTGGCATTTATTTGACCATGTAAATATTGTATATACTTTGTGTGTGTCTACCCCACACTGTGCTTACATTCAGTCAATGGTTTACTTTCTCCCCATGTCTCCCCAGCTTCCTGGTCACACTTGCTGTGTCCTTCCAGAAGAAACCAATCAGCTACAGCCTCCTCATCAATCCCAGCAGTCTCTTCTCCATCTCATCAGAGACTGGTGAAATCAGTCTGACCCGCCCCATTGACTACGAGAGTGACCAGCATCGCTACCTGCTGTTGGTGCGAGCCAGTGAGGGCCTGGACAGCATGAGCAGTGCAGCAGAGGTGTGTGTGTGTGTGTGTGTGTGTGTGTGCGCTATGAATTTCAAGTCACATTTTAACTGTCAAATTCAAAGACTGGAGGGTCTTCACAACTGAAAATTTGTTGACATGACAAGGTTGCCTCATCGTCTTATACTGTTTACACAATACTGCAAGCAATAACAGACAAGTCTTATATGAGCAAGTCTTCTACCAATGTTGTTTACTTGTTCTTCAAGCAGCACAGCTCACTTTGATCCACTGCATTTCAAACTACTGTCACTACTTCTTGGATAGAATTGTAGACCCAGTGACAGGTAGCTGGAAGAAAGTTGTTGAATTGTGGCATGTAGTGGTGGTTATGACAGAGTATCATGCAGACTGCTCTGGAACATCCTTGAGCTCAACACACATTTTGGCTGCTATTGATTTACAGTTGCTTAAGGGATTGTTCCAGATGTGAATGTTGCAGTTAAAATGATGGTCTGGTAGGGCCTCCTAATTGGACTCACTTTTGGTATGTTCTGATTCATGGCTATTTATTGTAAGAATTTTGCACCTGGAAGACAAATGTACATTTCTGCTTTAGTCTAAAAGTATGAACATTGTCTTCAGTCAAATACAAATAGATTTGTCTGGCTGGAGTGACTGCTTTGAGATTCCCAATGACTTCCTCATGTTGCAAGGAAGAGAGAGAGAACAGTAGCTGACTGCTGCAGGCATTGATGCATCTGGTCTGGTTTCCATCATTACTCTGGCCTCTGGCTAAAGCATGTCCCCCTGAACCGATCTGTCCTCAGTTGTTCCACTCTGGGCCTCTGTGAGCTGTGGGGTACCAAGAGCCTGTGTGTGGAGAGATAGTGACACAGAGTAAAGTGGGGACATGAGAAGAGGACTGCTAGATTCAGTGGTGAAAAAGAAAGACAGATGGAAAGAATAAAAAGGAAAGAAAGGAATTGGTATGCACCCGTGTCTGTCCACACACTGTCTACCCTAGGCAGCCAGCCACCTCAGCCCTGTGCCTGCTCTCTAGAGCCACGGTTAGCTTTTTAAACTTCCACACATACAATCTCTTGAATGCTGAAAAAGCCAGCACCCCTGCCCCCACAGCCGATACTCTGTCTGTGCACCACCAGATAAAAACTCTGCACTGTTTTGCATTCCAAAAGAGTAAAATTGTCTCAATGAATACTTCTGATATGGTACTTTACTAGAAAAAACTAGAGGTAATCAGTTAAAGGGTTCACTGGTCAGTACTGAGTGTGTTGTTTTCTGTATCAGCAGTGGAATAATGGTGTAGGAGTGTAGATGTAGGCTTATCTGGTTGACAGAGTCAACATTTTACAGATGCTCTGTGCTTTATTGCCCCTATAGTTGCTTTTTGCTGCCTCCTGAGCAGAATTTCAACATCAGTCATAGTATAACATTGGAACAATTGAGAAGATAATGGAGGCCTGAATGGCTACAATACTTAAGTGGTTTATTGATATAGCGTATGGTTGTGGCAAGGCAGGATACACACTTTCCATTCAACTGTTTAAATATCATACTATTTACATCCCCACTGTCTTACTAAAAATAATCAGTGTAGTACATAATGTACATCCAAATCATCCAAGCATACCAAATACTTTAATCAGTACTAGACATATTAACAGTTCCATGCTAACATTTCAGAATATGTTTGTCAGTTACAGTATACTTTGGGTTGATGGTTTTACACTTGGCATATCCACAGTGGTGAAAATTAGATAAATCAATGATGGAAACAAAATTCAGATTCTAAATTATATTTCAGTTTTGTTTAGTTTTTACATGGAAGAGTGTGTTCTTCCACAGAACTATTTTCGTGTCACTGGGTATCACTTATGTTTTTTAATTTCCAGAGAAATTGATAAAAGGGAAAAAAGGAGCCATGACCACAGTATAGTGCAGTATATTCTACTGTATATCAGCACATGCTAACAACAATGTTGCATGTGCCCACCTGATGACCCTGTAGACTTGCCTTCACTCTGACACCCCCACAGAATTTGTATTGGCATTGCAGAAAATAGAGTTTTAGATTCAGAGGGGTTGTTACAGGTGTATTTTTCTCTTGATTGGTAATCTTGGTAGAACAGTGTCAGTGGTTGGACAGTTGTGTGGGCCTGGCTCTCAGATGTGATTGCCTACCAAGCCACCTAGACCAGCCACCATATAACCTGAGCAAATCACCCAAAGTATGTGTATTTTAGGTTAGGTTCGGGTTGGTAAGTGGTGTGGCTTGTTATGGGACCCTCAAGATTTATGACAGTGTGATGTGATACCCTATTTTTGGGGCCAAATAATGAGTAACCATCACTTAACTTGAATACTGAGCTTCCATAGGAATGCTCAGCCATTCTTTGGCACATTTACAGTATTTTGTGTATTATCAACTGTACAGTATAATCAGTGATGGGGTTGGAGAGGACTGTGGTGTTATCATTGGATGCGCTAGATTACAGTAAATCCTGAAATATACTGTGGATTATTGATGTAAGAATAGAAAATGTATGAGACAGCAGCGTAGTAATGCCCCACCACAATTCTTTTGATGTATTCTATAAATTGAAGTATAATAAAAGAAAGCTGCATGCTTAAAATTGCAATAGACTTACTGAAATTGCTTAGTATTTTAGAAAAGAAACTTCCTCTGGATAAAATAAACTGTGCTGTCAGTCTTGGAGCTTGGAAGTGATGCCACAGTGACCCCTTCCACAGCTAAGACGAGAACATGCAACAGTCAGCATCTTGCAGTGGTGCATTCACATGGAGAGAAAACACAGCATGGCAAAGGGCTGTTGTGCAATAAACTGCACAAACAGATTCAGAAAGTACTGATTTTATGGACTGATAAAGACTAAGGAGAAGAAGAGCAGCATTAAGTGTTACTTTCAATGGGACGGTGTAAGATGAACTAACCAAGCACATGGTTTTCTGAATATTGCTGTTCATGCAATCAAAATATTTTGACAAACTGTTCATCCCTATGAATGCAACTGATTCGGTGAATACCCCAAATCATACGACCCACATATGCCGTTAGTCCCTTCCCTCTCCTACGACCCATAGGAGCATCTTCTGGCACTGTAGTGCCACTACAGTGCCAGGCGGATTTGCAAGAAGTCCGTCAATATTAACGACAACATATGTCACAAGCTTAATAGACTTTTGGTTTAATGGAAAGAGCCATAAACATGACAGCAAGTGTAGCACAACTCTGGCATCATGGAAACTACCATAAACATGCTGTTACAATTCTGATACTGTTTTACTACATGTTGTCACATTTTTGTTAGGTTTAGGAACAAACTACTTGTTTAAGTTTAGGAATAAAAACTACTAGAAAAACGCATATAACACGCTGAATTCCAACCCCACTTGCTTTGGGGAATGTTCTGTGTTTTTGTATACCAGCCATCCACCCCAACCTCCTCCTACTAGTGACATTCTTACTCTATATATTGCATTCGCCTAACTTAGTGCTTTACTTATGTCATAATTACCACAGTTGCTAGAGATCTCCAAACCTATAATTATAGGTACACTACCCGTTCTCCATCCATAAGCACATGACTGTAAATATGACCCTCTAGTTAAAATTCCTTGTCTGCCTTTGTATGGAAAGCTATACAAAGGTCCATGATAGTGAACAGTACCATAGAATTGTATAAACTATGAAACCTAACTTAACTTGATGATATTTATTTCTCTGGAGTAATGTCTCGCAGTGCGGCAGCTGTCCCAAGCAGTTCTCGCTCTATTTGTTTTTTATTTCAAGTTTTCTAGGTTTTCTGTGTTGCTTTTTGTGCTATGTCGCTTTCCCGTAAACTTTTGGGAGTTGGGCTACCAGGAATACAAGTTTTATTGCGTTTGCATTATGTTTTTATACTTTTTACGATGCTTTGAGTCTACCTGGGGAGGACCCTGTTTGCCAACAGTCGGCCATCAATGCCAGCAATCCTTCCGAGCTCCTTGTGGTGAGCTGCTGAGGATTTTCCACGGGGATGCGACAGGAGAGGTGGGACTGTGGGGCTGGAGTGAGGCGCTGGGGAAGGAAACGGAGATATGGGCCATGTTCGTCATCGGTCCGCTCCCCTCCAAGATGAATGGAGGAGCTAGAAGAGCGGCCCTCCGTGCTTCACCGAGAGTCCTGGATCTGTGGTCTGTGGTGATGGTTCTTCACAAATCCCCAGGCCGGCTATGCTGCTATGTGCATGCGCACGCAAAGCACCGTGTCTCGGTGGTGGACTCAGGGCAGGCCCAAATCCGCATCTTGAGGACATTAAACCATGCACCCCCGCCCGCCACCCTTCCACACAAAAAGCAATAAAACTCTGGACCTACTGTAGGCTAATGCCTGTTGTTTAGTCTCTACTGCTGTTCCTGATTCTCTCCAGTGCTGCTTTGCCCTGTTTTTAGGTGCCTTTGATTTGCTTATTTGTGCTGTGTAAAAAGTAACGTTCTGATGACACTACTTTAATAATCCTTGTGTGTATCAGTCCTAATGCTTTGTTGCCTTATGTAACTTTTTATTTTAAGACTAAGTGTTCTTTGTTACTACATACTTGCATACGCATGCGCCGCGCGGAGTGGCAGCAAGTTACAGCAGCTGTGTCCTCGTTGTGTTCTTTTCCGTGTTTTTATGAAGTCCTGTTCTTATGTTTCTGTTCTTATGGTGTTATGTTGGTTGTTCTCTATTGCTGCTGTAACACAGAAATTTCCCTGCTGTGGGATCAATAAAGTACCTACTCTACTCTACTCTACTTTGGTACGTAGGGACTGAAGATTTACTTGCCCGGACTTGTGACTTGTGAGCTGTTCTGTTCCAAAGACTGTAGACTGACTCTTCTAAGCCTCAACTAAAAGTCGGACTTTAGGCATTTTCTATTATGGCACTTTGGCTAGTATTTGTTTCTGCACATGCTATATTTTTGAAATTGTCAGGACAGTTAGTATTGTTAAAATAATGTGATATTAGGTCTATGGGATTTATTTAC